CCCCCCCCCCAATCCCAGAAAATGGTTGCTAACCCAAAGCAGGATTGCTGCCAAGTACACATTGTGGAGAGACCACGTTCCACCAAATGGGGAGAAAGACAGGGTCCTGGAGATGATGGCATCCTGCTCTGTCCTGGCTTGACTGCAAGATGGGGAGAAGCAGGAAAAGGGCAAAAAAGGTGTGGTTTGCTCTCCAGTACTGCCATTCATTGCAACTTCTCTGTGGGAGGAACACACGACTCCCCTTTCAGAGGAAACCCAAGCACTCTTCACTATAGCCACAGAGGATTACTTCACTTCAAATGCAACACCGACAGCAGATGTTCTGCAGTGAGACTGCCCACAACCTCCTGAAGATCAACTTTAGAAGTCAAACAGTGTTCTGCGGACCACACTCAGCATCACTTTACCCATAGCCCTCACCTACGTATCTACATGAAGTTGTTCGGAAGCTAGAAGCAGCCAACAGACCTTTCACTTCACTTACCCACAGGAAGCTTGCTCTCAAAGCATGCCTCAAACATATCATAGTCTTCAGTGGTGAAGGCAAACTTGCCCTTAGTGGCATCCTCCTTGGCATACAGGATGTGGCCAGCTGAGTCAGTTATCTGTAAAAGAGACAACAAGGGTGAGGGATACAATGCTTCACTGCCACAGGCTCATGCTGCCTGTGCTACACAGGCAGAGTTCTCACAACATCCCCTTTGGAGCTGCTGCATTCTCCTTTCAACAGTTTTCCTGTAAAATACTATAGAAGAGGTGTTACAAGCCAGGTCACAACTATATCAATTCCTCTCTTCCTTATCCCCACTCCAGGAGCTGACAAAATCAGAGTGCCTCTAATGTAATTATTGACTCTCAGATTTAACAAAAAAGAACCCCACCAAAAAACAATTAACCAGCCAACAAACCCCCAAACCACACCAATTCCTCTTCCTCCTATAAACTCTGAATATAGACTACATTTAGGAACTTTTGCTGAACCAAACTGGTATTCATTACCTTCTTTTTGCAAGATTCATAAATTCCCATAGCAACAGAGATACGTAAAAGCCTTACGGGACAGAAAAAAAAAATAAAAATACTCATTCCCCAGAAGATAAAATGGAGAAGGGCATGTCCATTCCTCTAGAAAGGAATCATCAGCGTGGCTCTGAGTTCTACAGGGTTTGGGTGCCAAGATCCATAAAAGCAGCCACTTCAGAGGACAATTCAGACTGCTCAGACAGAATAATGACTGTTTTGTGCTAAGCCTAAGAAAGCACTAAGAATAGGCAAAAACTGTAGAAGTTCTACAAAAATGCTTCAACAGAGTCAAAAAAAAGGACACACATTTCATGATGCAGACTTGAGAATCATTGTGCTCAATTAAAGGCTCGATCCAGTTGAAATACTCTGACGACGAACAGGGGTGAAAAACACCAAAAGCTTTACAACATCGCATGAAAATCAACAATGTGTGTTCCACTGGAATGTTTCCCAGTCTCCCTCAGCTCTATCATTCTATAGGTATGTCTGAAAAAGCATGGGTGCTAAAGTTACTAGGCGTCTTTGAAAGTTTTAGAGGTGAAGAGACTAAAAAGCTTGGAAATAATTTTGAAGGCATGTAAGACAGAAGTACACAAAATAATCTGTGCTATGGAGAAGATAAGTCAGACGCTCTCCTTTACTCCATTTTACAACAGAAAAATAGCCTCATTTCCCTGTGCAAAGGCCATATAAAAGGGCCACATACCCAAAATTATTCTAAGGAAACACTCTCCTTTATTCTTATTAGAACACCTAAATAACTCCCTGCCATGGGACACCACTGATGCCAGCAGCCTGCTGGACTCGGAGCAGGTGCGGACCTTCACATGGATAACAGAAGTTGCTGCCTTAGGCAGGAAAAATAATAAAGTATATAAATCCTCAAGCCTCAGGGTACAAACCATAGCAGGCAATACTTTAGGAACAAGCTTCCTCTACATACAGATTATCCCAACACTCTGTTACAGGATCTGTTGCAGCTGCCCCTGGACCATATGGTAGTTGTCAGTGTCTGAGAACGAGGAGCACCGTTCCCCTCCTGCGCTGCAGTTTCTGCTCGGAGCTCTACCTGTACACAAGCGAGAAGCAGATGAAAACACGCCTGCGCAGTCAGGCACAGGCAGCTGCGTTGCCATCCCCCTGCCATAAGCCACCAACACAAGCCACCTCCTGTCTGGAAGCCGCCGGACTATCGGAAGCATGCAGCTCAAGTCAGCAGGCCCTGTTGGAGCGCTGGACTGTTTGCATCTGAACACGCAGGCACGGTGTAAAAGCACGCGTTTTGGCCACCATAGGGTGCACACTATTCAACGGAGCAGTCCTGACTAACCACGACACGAGCCTCATCAGGGTGATATCATATAATCTGCACACCGGGTTCTCCATCCCAAGAACAAGTGGCAACAAGAATACAGTGAAGAAAGCTCTCAAACGTCCCCATTATTTTGAGCACTATTCCCTTAGGGCCTTGTAGACACAGAACTAATCTTTAGCTAGAGGATATTATGCAGCTTGATCCATTTTTGCCCTTTGCGGCTCTAGCAATAGCCTGCTCCAGGAACAGGATTCTGGACTGTAAAAGCTCTGCTATCCGCTTTCATCAAAACTGAATAGCATTACCCAAATCAGGCAAATACACAGCCCATTCAGCCAGGCGTGCGGGGGCGGGAGAAGCTGCTAACAGCCCAGCCAGAGCGCTTGTGGGGGAGTGGACCTGAAAGGGATTTTTTATGCTATTCTAACGTTATTTACGGTAACACAATCCCCTACAGACAGGGCATTGTTCGCCCTTGACAAACAGCCCGACGGTTCCCCAAACTGCCAGCCTCGACAATGGGGCAAGGGCACGTGGCTGGGCCCAAGCGAGACCTCAGCCGCTCCGCCGCCGCCCCTCGGCAGCCAGCTGGCAGAGCCCACGGATTCCTCCAAAACAGAGGGTGCCACTGTTAGCGCCGGGCTATCACACACACGAGGTTGAGCTCACCAGCAGGAACCGAACTGAGCCTGGCCAGAATTAACTACCAACCTCCTACGTTTGGTGGCCCAATCCAGGGGACTGACGCAGACCATCCAGTGCAGAAGAGGAGAGACCACCTGCAGACATGATGTCCTGAACTAACCTTTCCCATACAGACACAAAGGGAAAGTAAGCACCTAACAGAGGGGCTGCAGCACTCACAATAGTCGTAGCATGTTGGGAGGCCACAGCATACCTGAACAATACGAAGGCAGGCAAGAATTGCATAAATTACTATTTCTTCTTTGTAGCTTTTCGAACTAGTACAGGACTATTTTTTTTTTTAATTTTTATTTTGCAGCTAGAATAAAATAGAACTTTCACTAACAGTCCTATCTGGACACCAGCTTCAGCAGCAAAGCCAGACTAAGACCCAAGCATGGGATTCATGCTTCACTACCTCCCTAGAGAAGGAGTCAGTTTTGGAAGAGACTGTGGTGGGGTCAGTTGACCTAAGAGTGGGCAACCAGAGAACAAGGAGGCTTGATCGCCAAGCGGTAAGAGACAGGTGGGAACATGGCACTCGATCTGAAACACACGCACCTTACCAGGCAAACACACAGCAATATTTTAAGGCGCTAAAGCTGCTCAGCTGTGACTACACACAGACAAATCTCCTCTTACAAATGTTGCAAGAACAGCAGGACAAGATTTTTTAAAATGCAAGACTCCAGAAACAGCCTTCTCTAGCCATAACCAAGCACAACTGCCAATAACCTGAGACCTTTGGGCATCTGCAGGCAAATGCTGGAAAGGCAACTTGATTTCAGGAGATCTCAAACATTCACTCAGTAACACCAAGACTCCTGAGCAGTCCGTTCTGTCTCCATTTGTGTGCTTACTTTTGAAGCTTAAATAGAAAGAAAAATGAGACAGAAAGCTGTTACGAAGTGATTACATAGCAATAGACCTTACTCAGCTAGGTGGGAAAACTGAAGCAAGCCTAGGGAAGGTAGACTGTGGACAGAAGTAAAGCGAAGCTGTTGAGGCTTTAATAGCTGCTTTGTCACATTGGTGTATTAGTCACACATATTCTGCTGACTCTTCCCCTATACCCCTAGAAAGACTTTAGGATCATTTTCTTGTAGCAAACACCCGCCTCCTTAAAATCCCTGCCAGCCACGACACGGCAAGATGGCAAATACCCACTCTGTATGCCAAAACCCGGCTTCTAAGCCCTTTCCCTGCTGCCTGCCGCTCCATCCCGCCATGCCAGGCTGTGCGCAGGGAGGGAGCCCTTGGAAAGCCACGTCACCCAAACTCCTTCCTCCTCACGCCGTGTCAGCAGCCTTGGGATGGCCTTATCGCGGCG